AAGTCCAGACTGATTCATGGGGCAGTGACCACCTCCCCATACACATAAAGCTCCCCATCAGCACCTCGCCCAGGTGTCGAGTCACTTTCACAAAGTGGGACAACTTCCGCACCGCAATGAGCCGTCTTGCCAACGTCCCAATCGCAGACCGGATTCAGCAAGCCCTTCGGGAGTCCCGTGCGGAATACAACGTCAAGGAAGACACACCACCTCCCGACTTGCACCTGATCAAGCTGTGGGAGAGGAGACTGGAGGCTCTAGCCTCCAGCACTACAGAGCCAGGAGATCCCTCCGGAAGAAGATCCGCCTAAATCGCACGACAGCAAAGGCCATAAAATACACAATTGAGCTCCGCCGAACTATCTGGCGTAGCCTGTGCGCAAACTACCGCAAGCTGTGGCAAGCCTACAAAGGCTTGCCGGGAAAACAAAAATGCGCAACACCAGAAGCAATCTAGCGCTCCGCCTTGACATCACGGAAGAGCAGCTTGCGGAAACCATCGTGCACGAAACCCGGGAAACCATCGTGCACAAACAGCCGGCGGACGCCCTTGTCACGCTCGCAGAAGGAGCTCCTTGACACATTCAACACCATTTGGGTGAGGGGTGAACTCCCGTCCGATTGGAAGAGGTCTACAGTGATCCCTATCCCAAAGACCGGCAAGACACCACACGCGATGGCTAAGCTCCGCCCGATCTCCTTGACGTCCAACCTTTACAAAGTTTTAGAACGCATGGTCACAATACGCCTGACATGGATTCTTGAATCGACGGGTGCCTTCCATCCCATGCAAACGGGCTTCAGACCTCACCTTTTGGCACAAGACAGCCAGCTCATGATACATCATGATCTCTACGAGCGCCGGCTTTTTAAAAGCCAACCGCGTACGCTCGTGGCCATTTACCTACGGAAGGCATTCGATTCGATACCACACAGCACAGTCGTGGCCGCCGCAAAGAAAAGAGGTATACAGGGCCGATTCCTGAATTTCATCAAAATATTCCTACAGGATCGCACGTTCTAGGTTTCTATCGGACAAACCAAAGGCCAATGGAGAACAAACAATATACAGGGGGTTGTTTTGTCGCCGCTACTATTCAACATCGCCATGGTTGCCTGGCTCTCGCCCTTGAAGCCATCCCACAAATTCGCTTTACCATTTATGCGGATGATGTCACCCTGTGGACGAGGGCAGGTGGGGCGGATAGCCAACAACTCTACATGCAGATCGCGCTTGACGTTTTCATGACCTTCGCCCTCCGATCAGGGTTGGAGTTATCTAAGGAGAAGACAATGTACATGGTTATACCCAGCCGACGCAGGAGCGCCCGTACCGACATCCAACTGAGGGTGGATGGAATCCCCATCGCCCAGAACAACTCCGTCAAAATCCTCGGGGTCCCATTTGACCACAAAGGAAGAGGTAGTGGAAGGAGGGCCTTCCACTACCTCCGCCTTACGAAGACTCAAGAAACCACACTAGTAACGATGCTGAGAGCGGCCATGCGGGTCGTTACAGGGCTCCCCGCTTCACACCGGTTGACCGCTCAAATGAACTCCATCCGTGAGATTGCCGAGGAGATGCGGATAAGCCAAGCTCAGCGGCTATCTCGCACTCCTCATGGACGAATTGTTCTTGCCTCGATTGGCCGTTCCGACCTAATTGACTGCCCGCTTATGCCTACACCGACGCCACCTTGGGATGCAAAGGCAGTCACTCCCATCAAGCCCCTCCCCAGTCATCAAGGACCTGATCACCCTGGACGACGTGCTACACAAGTAGCCATCCACCGCGCTGAAGTCAGCAAGCTTGCCGCGCAAGTGGATGTCTTCTACACGGACGCGGCGAGAGACAACAACGGCCGCACTGCGATCGCCTGGCATTCCCCTACACGCAAAGGGACGAAACACAAGCTTACCGCATGTACACGGAGCAGTTGCATGGCGGAACTTCTGGCAGTTTTGTTCGCCGTTGAAACAGCCACGAACATGCCACGAGCAGAAACTACTGAAACTCGAATGTACACCGACTCCCAAGAGGCGGTGCGTGCACTACAGCAGTCGAGCACATGCAACGTTACCGTTGCGCGCATCCGCGAACTGGTTCGTCAGGCCGGGGCTCGACAACTAATCACCATCGCATGGATTCCGGCCCACGCAGGCGTTCCAGGGAACGAGCGGGCGGACGGGGCCGCGAAGGCACTGCTACAGGCAAATACTCAGCCCTCACAAGGCCCGGCCCCCCGCCGGTTTAACGGGACGTTCCACCTGACGAGGGCTTTGATCTAACCCAAAAGAAGAAAGAAGAACAAAGAGCACGAAAAGCGCGCTTTGCAGCGCTCCTACCTTCTAACCCCCCCAGCCGTTCCCTCGCGGGCTGCCACGATGGGAGCAAGTGGCACTACACAGGCTCCAGACTCGGACTATGGTGACTCCCTTTTGGCGTGCCAAGTTCTACAAGCCAACAGATGAGAATGACACAGGTCCTGACCCTGGATGTCCACACTGCGGAGTCCCTGCGACTTGCTACCATGTTGTATGGTCCTGTGCAGGGACGTCACTAGAACGGATAGCGGCAGTTAACACTTTATCACCGCACCTTAGACCAATGACCATTCGGGAATGGACGCATCCGAGAACCTCAGCACCCGCAGAACGAGATCTCATCCTCACATCAATCGTCTCCTACCTCCGGTACTCCGGGATCGGACATCGGACGGATACGTCTAATCCATCACCATCATCACTACCCCTCTTTCACTCCCCCTTCCCCCATGCCACATGAGGTTCCATGGGCCAGAGGCATGGAAATTAAATAAATGTTTCAATCAATCAGCGCTGTATTAGCGTTCCAATGGACGTGGGAACCCGCCTTTATGCGTATTAAATGTCGCCGCATCTCTCAAATGATTTCACTTTATAAAGTACATCCTTTGCTTCAAAGAAAAAAAGCTTAAGAATTTTAGGCAAAGACGAGACTCGAGCCCACGACCCTTCGGTTGCGAGCCAGACAGGCTACCAACTGGGCGTTAAAATTTTTTCAGGTTCTCAAAAACTTTCAAGGTCGATACCCGTTCAGGCGGGCACTGTAGTGTTGCATGTACTGAATTCAGCGCGTGGACAGTTTCCATAAAGTACATCCGTACCGGGCGTGCGTTCACATTAGAACGCCATATACCGCCCTTGTGCATTTCCATATTTTGTGCAGGCCCACAAGCACAACCACGTCAACAGGGGAATTCATCGCCTTTTCAACCGGGAGAAACCTAATGCCATCATTAAAGAAAAATTATTTGATAGTCCTCTGGAGAACGTCCCAGAACAGCACGGCGTCTCAGCAAACTAAAAAGACATGTTTTAAAGTTCCAGGTTTTTTTGCAGAAAAAGTAATCAGTGCCCCATGGGACAAACATCTTTCTCTGCGAAATTCAAGATTTTTACGGGAAGCGTTTAAATTAAAAACGCTTCCATCGAAAGGGAAAGTGACATTTTTTTGTTTTTAATTTCAACTTAAAACATTTTGCACTGGGCCCGCCTCAAACATAGAAGGGTACACCGGCACTGCAAAGATAGTTTCAATGATGTCCCGCTTAATCGCTTACGCGTGACGCCCGCCAAGTGTTCCAGAGAGAAACGCGCGGATAGAGAACGACATGAAAAAAAAAAACAAAAAAAAAAACAGCCTTCTTCGTTGTTCATTAAAAGAAGAGAGAGAAAAAAAAAGGGGGGAGTTACCGCTCATTCACACTGGAAGCGGATCCGCGTTCGCAAAGCGGTTGCGAACGCGGTCGTATAAAGATCCAGTACAATTGCACGCGCACTCGATGACGTCGAGTGCGCGTGCAGTTGTACTGGACCTTTATACAACCGCGTTCGCAACCGCTTTGCGAACGCGGATCCGCTTCCAGTGTGAATGAGCGGTTAGTCTGACAGTCTGATCTGAGCCATAGCCAGGAGAAATCCGTTAGTTTGTTCTCGAAGAAACATAAATCGCGGGTTGGGATTTAAATTCGCAGTGCTCACGTGTGAGCGAGGCGACCTTTATTTTTCAGCTCAATCACCCAACCAAATTCTGTCCGTACACTTCCTCGCGGCGAACGAAACCGAAGCAACAAACGCGAGCATGTCGCCCCGTACAACGGCTGCACTATGGTCGCGTGAACACGTCTGCGAGTGGTCTTTCGGGAAAGAATAGCCATCAGGCCCGTTTTCCTTCTGTCATTAGAGAGTTGTAGTAGATCGTTCCGATAATCCCCGATAACGATTCGCTGCATGCGCAAAGGCGGCGACGGAGTACCAGGTATCGTTATCGGAGTCATCGGAACGATCTACTAAATCTCTCTATTTTTAAAAACGTTTGCACGGAGAGTGCGACTAGGCGGGACAATCCGCTTTCCCCACGACTCCGACACTCGCGTTTGCTCGTGCTTTTCGGCAACATATTTACGGTCGACAGTCAGGATCGCGACATTCGACAGCATGATACTCCCACTTTTCTGAAGTCACTTAATAATCGCCATTTCGTGAGCACTTTCCACGTATGGGAAGATAGGACGCCAAACACACCGGCCGCGGAGACGCGTTACAGTGCCCTGCACGAGCTCGCGTGTTTGACAGAGGCCGTTGAAAGACTCTTGATCACGTGATCTGGCCCGCGGGTGTATGTCGGATCTACTTGAGTGTGAGTAGATAGTCGAACGGTGCTGTGTGGAAGTGCCTTGACAAGGACGTATAGTGCCAGATTTTCTCAGGTAGGCTATACCGGAGCACGAGGCACAGATCTGGGCGGCAGTTTTGCATCAGCGTTGGCTTAGAGCTCGCGTTCCGTCAGGGAAGGCACGAGCGCTGTGCGTCAACATTCGGCTAGTACCCGTGTTCAATCGGTGAGCACACTAGTTCCATCCGAACGCTAATGCCCCACTCGTATGAGGGTCTTCCATCTCGGGAGCGTGTGAAACCGGCAATAGCGAGGTGCGAGCCACGTAGTAAAGCATTCGTCGTTAAAACAAAACACGATGATAATTTATTTTTATGGTACAACACACGCAGGTGCCTCGCTTCTTCGTCAGGTGGTCGCCGTCCTCTTCGTCGCGAGTCGAACCTCGCTGTACGAACCTATAAAACGAGCACCGTCACTGGCAGCAAACACGTCACGGAATTGGGCGTCGAATCGGCAGCCAAGCGTCCCATGGCGTTGCGTCCTCGTAAACTCCGTGCGACTGGCGGGTTTCAGTTCTTTTTGGTTTATCACAGCCGAGCCGGCCCCTCTTCGCCGGCAAGCGGCGAGCTCTGCTCATCACAATATAAACACTCCGTTTCACTTCAAGTCCAACAGCGGCCTCACATTCGATGGAACCACCCAAGCAACATCAAAAGTGCTTCGTCACGGCGCTCCTTGTCCTTGTCGGTATAATATATCGCTGGCTAAGACAATCACGAGTGCGCACGATTGGTTTAATCGCGTGGCTGATACGAAGCGCCCAAGGGCGAAGAGCGCTGTGATGATGTACTTTTGAGGTGGCTTGATTTGCTTCGACGGAGCGTGCACTGCATGTCGGACTTGGAGTGGAGCAGGCATATACAGCGGCTCAAAGTCCTCCGCGTTGAAAAGATCGCCATAGGCCGCTTTACATGGGCGTCGACTGCGCTTCACTGTCGTTTGTCATGCCGTAGTTGATGTGACCGTTTTTGATGCTTTCAGGCTGTTTCTCCACCGCCCATTCTTCTTTCTCCGTAAGCTGGGGAAAAAAAAAACACAAACAAAAACATAGCGATGCATTAGCAGGAAGACAAGCTGAATTCGCAATACACGAACCAAATTAAATAATAAATAAATAAATGAATTAATAATATATTAGAACGACTGACAGCCTGAGGATCGCAGGACGTGGTGAATTTTAATTTTTATCTCTTAGCGGCCGATTAGATGGGGGCACTAGTTATAAGAATGCGGAAGAACGAGTCACAAAGCGGCAAGAAGCGTCGTCAATCGGTAAATAGCACTGACCGTCCGTTTTTTATACTCTCTCTGATCATTAGACATAAAGAAGATGTTCGTGGGGTACGTTCGATCGGCACTTGTACTTGTCACAATTGTGTAATATTTAACGGCGCAATGTCTAATGCTTTCTTTTTTTTTTTTTATGGCGCCAGGAAAATTACTTACCTTCACCGTAGACTTGCTGTCGCTAAGCGTTGTGCTCGGCCGCGTCCGCAGGTAAAAGTTGCGAAGCCCAGGAGCTATGAGGCTCGGATCAACGTCGGCCGAGTTTTTAAACCCTGTAAAGAATCGCGGATATTTTTTATTCCATGTGGGCCAGCGTAATCTCAAATTTTTTTCTACTTCAAATCTAAAAAAAAAAAACAATTGCTGTAAATTGTAGTCGTGTTCGACACTTGCCTAAGGCCGCAGTGATTGCAACCGCGAGGATCATTGTCACGAAGAAGCTGATGACGGGGACCCAGAAGTAGGAAATGTGGTAGAGCTCGAAGATTCCCCTGTGAGAAAGTAAATCGTAGAACACTGTTATTTGCCTAGTGTTTCTTTTTCTTCTTAATATGAGAATTGAGACAAAGTATAGACGCAGATTGCGAGAAAGGAATCGATGCTACATAATCATCTGAAACCTTTTTTCCCGGGTCAGGACATCTCCGTGTCGGAAGAGAAAAGCGAGAGTATTGATTACCGCGCCTAAATTTGAGAGGTCTTTTTTTCTTTTAATTTGACTGCACAGTCAAATTAAACATTAACAATATTACTCGTTCAAGACCTTCCTTCTCGGCTATTTCTTCACAAGAAAGCTACGGGTAACACTATTGATACTGGGAAAACCTGTCAAAATCAGCCGGAAAGATGAACACCAAGATAAAGGTCAGCGACGCAGAGAGCCGAGTAGGGGCACGAGTCAGTCTGGGTGCTCCTAACAAGATGCGCCGCCACAAGTAATGGAAGGCAGAAAGCACGCTGTACAGGTGAGCGACGTATCAGCCGCAAGTGTACTCACTCAATCACGTTTGCCTCTATTTGCTTTTACCTCGAGCTCGTCTTGGTAAAAGCACTGAACATGACTGCCCGTCCGACTCGGCAGCTTACATTAGCGTCCGGCGTTCAAGCCTTCAGAGATGGCGTGTTTAGTTTTCACAGGAATGGATGTACTGTTTAGGCCTAGAAATGTCACAGGATAAAAAAGACCACAGAAGCACATACTTGAAGACAATTTGTGCTCGTTATGCGCATTCCCTAACTTCTATGACGCATTTCGCAGGGTATCCAATTTTTATGACAGCTTACATTTGGGTATCTTTGATGTATATCTTCCTCCTACGTACCCGGTGTTTGATGAGGGCTGATTGCACCGAGTCACCCAGTTTATGGTTACACGGTAATAAACATCCGCCTTAAATTTCTGCTTTTTGCGCACTGCTGCTGTGCGCACTGCTGCTGCAGTGCGCAAAAAGAGAAGGGCAAGTGAAGCAAAGAAGACAGGACTTGAAATATGAGCATGACGTCGACAGTTCAAAGGCCATGCTCAGTGTCGTGATCCGCCGAAACTCCGCCGTAGATTGCAGTGATTGGCTTTCTTAGTACTCGGGAAAAAAAATAAAAATACAATTTTTTTTTGTTTATAAAATCAGGTTGGTTGTTTACTAAATGGTGAAGTACTTCGAAATGCGCCGGAGCGTGAAATGCCGGACTTTCTTCGCAGTAACAAGCGAGCTGTCACCCCTCCGGCCACAGCTCGCGTATACGTTTACTATGTGGACGCTCACTGAAACGCTGCGCGTGTCCGGTGTGGCAGAAAATGGTCTTGCACACGCTAGAATCCCAACCTTAACTCTCCAACGTTGTTTCCGCTGGCAGTGCGGGATGACCACGGTCCGTGTGTTACAGGTAACCCATTTTGTTGCCGTGCGTACATTTAGCCCCAATAAAATTCACGGAGCAAGTGTAATATATACTTTACAAACCCTTCCTTATCTACTGCCGCCCAGCCCAATATTTGTCAGTGCTTCTAATAATCCGTGCGAGGTTTGCAAGCAAAACGCTAAAATGCTTAATCTTACTGTCTGCTTTTCCAGAACATGACAGCATGGCACATCTTGGTGGGTGATTGATATGCCAGCTGAGACAACAAATTTTACGCGTACCCTGATCGGTACTCGACGGGGTCTGTAGCTTGGAGCGTGTAGTTGAACGCGCACCCCTCCAAGCTGGTGTGCGCAGCCACCGGCCTCTTGGGGTAGATCAGCGACCCGATGGCCACCCAGGACGCCGTGCACATGCCCGTGATCATAGATGCCAGGGCAGTCTGCGAATCAAGCCCACAGCTACCATGATGACTCGACACTTCCTCTTTCCCTGGTAGTTCAATACCTTCGTGCTAAAAAAAAAAAATAAGAAAATGAGATCTTTTTGAAATTAAGCAAAAATGGGGAAATCATTTTGCTTAGAGAGGGAATTCGTTACGGGTGTTTCGATGAGCCAAACTCCACTCGCTCGAAGTGTCGTTAAATTAGTCCGTCTGACTGAAATATTACTTCTGCAAACCCGTAAAAAAAAAAAAAAATACTTATTTAAATTTTGCGCAGCAATTAGTTCTTTATCGCAGTCTGTTTTCACTGCCTCATTGCCATTGAAACGTTCGTTGCTTACAAAGTTTATTATTATTATTATTATTATTATTATTATTATTATTATTATTATTATTATTATTATTATTATTTTCGGTAAGCCTCGGTAAGCCTACTACCCGCAATGAATTCTCTCGGTGACTGTTCGGTGTGCTTGAAACCTGTCCCATCTGATGGTAAATTCATGACGTGCGGTGCCTGCAAGAGTCTTTACCACTTGGGGTCTTGTGCCGGAATAAAAGAATCAACCTTCGGCGCGATGGGCCAAGAAAGAAGAGAGAAATGGCGCTGCCGGTCTTGCCGTTCTGCCGACTCCAGTTCGACGCAGGGAAGTGTGTCTGAGGAACCTCAAGGCATCTGTGCATCCGAGGAACTTCTCAGCGCGGTCAATACCAAGTTGGACTTATTGGTCTCTCTCAAGGCGAACGTCGACACTCTCCTCACACTTCCTTCCAAGGTCGATGAGCTGCTAACTTTGAAGCCGGCAGTTCAATGCCTGCAAGAAACAGTCAAGACACTTCAACAATCTATTGACGACCTTTCATTGAAGTATGACTCGGTGCTTGCTAAGGCAACCGAAAACGAAAAGAACACCGAAGCACTCCAGGTCCGGTTGGCTGAGGTGTGCAGTGTTGTGGACGAACAATCGCGTACTATCCAGCGACTGCAGGGAGACTTGAACCACTTGGAGCAGCGGAGTCGGTCGACAAACCTGGAAATCCACGGACTGCCATGCCACAAGGATGAAAACTTGGAACGAATCATCGCCGATCTTGGAGAAAAATTAGATTTGCCTCCACTCCAAGCGGGAGACGTCCTTGCCATTCACCGTCTTGCAACGAAGCCCGGCCCTGCGCCCCCAGTTTTGATAAGGTTTGCGTCCGTGAAGGTGTACGATGAATGGATGAGCCGTCGCGTACGATTGAGCTCACTTTATAATTCAGGTAAACTGCCGAAGGTTTACTTTAACGAAAACCTGACTCGAGCAAACAGAGAATTATTCTGGATGGCCAGGTCAAAAGCCAAGGAGGTGCTATTTAAATATGTCTGGGTAAAGGGAGGGAAAATTTTTGCGAAAAAAGAACAAGGCTCAGCGCTAGTCAGGGTAAACACAATCAACGACCTTGAGAATATAAGCTAAAGTAATGTCGACAAATTTTCAAGAATGTGGAGATTTCAAGGTTTTCAAACAGGGGCTCAATATAAAGAGCCAACTTTTCTTGGTATTACACGTGAACATTAGAAGCATAAGGAAATATTGGAGCCTCTTCAACCTTCTTGTTAAGGACGTGACAGCAAACACGGACATTTTTGTACTTACCGAGACTAATGTGTCTGAGGATTGGTGGGATCTGTTTAAATTAGCTGGCTATAATTCCTTCTGGTTTTCGCGGTCAAATGTGGGGGGTGGGGGGATCGCGGTTTTCATTAAGGACAAATGGCTGGTTTCTAAACTCGACATCTCTTTTTCTCATGCAGAAACGATTGCGCTTAAAATTGAGAATTCCAATTTTATTATTTTTATTTTAGCATGTTATAGGCCTCCTTCACAAAGCGTTAGAAGTTTTCTAGAAGAATTGAAAAAAACACTCAATGAAATGCATAACAGGGGTTTATTCTGCTTGGTTGGCGATATTAACATCGATGTAGCGAAACAGGAACGATCTGATGTGTGTGATTATTTAAACATTCTTGCAAACGAGGGTATTGAAAGCACTATTAAAGCTCCTACAAGAGAAGAGATAATATCAGGTAAACTAGTCACGTCCTGCATCGATCATATCTGCGTTCGAGCTGAGAATACCGTTACAATGTCATCGGTTATCACGGAAAAAATGGCCGATCATTATTTTGTAGGATGTCAGTTTGTAAACTCTGGGGAGACAAAGCCTGAAGCCGAAACAAAGCAAATAGAAATTATCGATAATGTAAAACTAGATCGCCTCATTTCAACATTTGATTGGATCTCATTTCGTAAGTCCACATCCCAATCCGACCTGTACACAAAGTTCACACAGATCATTAATTCTTTCACAGAGCAATGTAAACGAACAGTTAGAATAAAAAAACGAAGACCGGATCACGCATGGTTGAACACGGAGGTACTTACCGCCATAAAAGCAAAAGAACTCGCTTGGGCACGGAGTCGGCGGGCACCAGAGAATAATAAACTTCGTTCTGAATTTAGGATCGCGAGGAACAGAGCTAATGCTATGCTTCGACTGGCGAAAAGAAAGCACTTCAAGAACAAGTTTGAAAAGGCGCGCTTTAGCTCTTCAGAGACATGGTCACTTGTTAATACTGTTCGTGGTCATCAGCGAAAGCCATCCGTGGATGACGTTGTAAAAAAACATTTCGGTAACAAATTGAGAGATATTGTTGAACGATTGAATTCCTACTTTGTTAGATCCACTTCTGCTCCAGAAAGAGTTGGTATTTCGGAAGCAGTAATAGAGATGAACGCAACCTCCGCTTTTCTTTATCCCATGAGCTTGGACGATTTACGTTCGATTCTCTTCAGCATTAAGCCCACTAGGTCTCCAGGCGTGGATGGTATAACTCTTGGTTGTCTTCAAAGAAACTTCAGATATCTGCAGGATACGCTTCTTTTCATGTTAAACGGATTTATCGAATTGGGCGTGATCCCTAATGAGCTTAAGACTGCTATAGTGCGACCGATTTTCAAAGGCGGGGATCCTAAAAAGGTAGAAAACTACCGCCCGATTTCGATTTTGCCCGTGCTAGAACATGTGTTTGAGAAACACATTTTCCATATAATGACCAGTTTCATTGATCAGTGTTCGCTGTTTTCTCCTAGGCAATATGGGTTTATTTCTGGGAGTGGTACGCAGTTACTTTTAGAGGATGTAGCTGACAAAATTTACTCTGGTTTTGAGGGCAACATGTTTTCATGTGCCGTTTTTCTAGACGTCAGCAAGGCCTTCGACACGGTAAATCATGAGATATTATTAGAGAAGCTTTGGAGGTTCGGTTTCCGTGGACCTTTTCACTCGCTCTTGAAAAATCTGTTAGAAGGTAGGGCCCAGGTGGTTTCTATAGATAAAGTTAATAGCTCAACCCAGTTGCTCGAAACCGGCGTCCCTCAGGGTTCGGTGCTATCCCCATTACTTTTTAATGTTTATGTAAATGACCTTGAAACTGTTATTTCTGGATGTGATATTTTTCAGTATGCCGACGACACCTTGCTTGTTTCACGACACATCAATTTCGAAAAGGCGGTTCACGCTCTGCAGTTAAATGCGCTTAAAGTTATGGACTGGTATGCGGCCAACCGTATAAGAGTTAACCCATTAAAAACTAAACTCGTCTGTTTCCGTAATCCCCTGAAACCCGGATTCTCCAATGCCCCTTTTCTTCTACACAGTTCTGGTTGCAAACTTTGTTGCTGTAAGCCTGTTCCCTGGGTGGACTATACAAGATATATGGTTCTGATTTTTGAATATGATATGTCGTGGAACAAACAAATGGCACATCTGTGTTGTGTGCTAAGGAGAGTTGCATGTATGTTATATAATATGAGATTGTTTGTTCCTTTTAAGGTTAGAAAAACGATTGTCCATGCGCTTGCGTACAGTGTACTGCGATATGGGGTGACGCTACATGCCTATTGCACAACATCTTGGCACTCTAAAATTGACAGCATTTTGAAAGGAATTTTGCGAAGTGTAGCGTATAACTCATGTTTTTCATCCAGTGAGGACTTTTTTAGAGATTTGCAGATGCCAAGATTACGTAGTTTGTATACTGAAACTGTTGTGCTACGCCATTTTTGGAGTGAAAGTTTTAAAACAGTTCATACACCATCGCGCCTCCTCAGAACGTCTCCTCGGTATGAAGTGCAAAGATGTGTCACCAGATATGGAAAACGAATGCGGTCGTTTTACGTGTCAGACATTTTTAATACCCTTCCTGAAGATATTTTCAGTGTTACTGGCAAAGGAGAGTTGAAGAAGTGGCTTCGTCATTATGCTTGTGAAAGCTAATTATTGTGCTGTTGTCGTTTTGAGTTGAATTGGGATGCTGGTTAGTTGAAGCTCATGATCGTGTGTTTGCTTCTATGTGCGTTCTTCATTATTTTCTCGCTTATGTATATTTGTTTTGTGTTTTTTTGGATTTGACTTGGGAAGCTGGTTAGCCGAAGGCTTGTGTACGTGTTTGTTTATTCATGTGTTCTTTTTTTCGCCTATGCGAATTTGCTGGGTCCAGTCCTACAAGCCATTGTCGGCTTAGACGGACCCGTCATTTGACATACCGAAAGCGTTGTGTGAATAAAAAAGATTATTAAGATTATTAAGGTTATACGGCGGGCGGTAGCGGGTACGGGCGGGCGGGCGTTTACAGCGAAGCTGTTATGTGCCAGGATCCGAAAAAAAAAAAAAAGCGTCAATAAATGTAAAAAAAAAAAAAAAAAAAAAAAAATCCCGTGAAAACGGCGTTTATTCGTTCCGATTGGTCGTGGCAGGCATAAATTAAAAGGAAAAGGGGGGGGGGGGGGCAATCTGCGTGAGTCAGCCTTCCTGGGCATTATTAAATAGTGAGGTCCTGATCCCTTGTTATCATCTACGGTCACGGTTAGCAAATAAAAACACGTTTCAGTAAATGTGTTCTCAGCTTTTAAACGCCGATGTTGAAATGTGACTAAAGATTTCACCTTAAAACTAACACGGATGGCGTGAATATTTTTGTTTATGCGTATTTTATTTAGTATTTCCTTTTTCATACGCTCTCTCTCTCTCTCTCTCTCTCTCTCTCTATATATATATATATATATATATATATATATATATATATATATATATATATATATATATATATATATATATATATATATTAATTTTTTTTTGAGCGCGTATTGATTTTTTTTTTTACTTTACGATGAACCGCAAAACCATCGAAGCCAATCCCATGTTTTGTGGGTGTCACGTGCCTTTCGGGTGGAGAGCAGCGATGTGAAGTTTGCATTGTCACGTTACAGCGCCGCATGGCTCGTAGCATCCGCTGCGGTCCATCACAAGGCGAGCTCAAACGGTGCTCCAAACAGGTTCTGCCATCTAGCGAGCGGTTGGATAACGTTCTAACGGGCGCTTGTTGGTGTTTCAGTTGCTCGAAGGAGGGCGCTACTAGACGCGAGCTCGTAGATTGGCAAATCTCAAAGCCTTGTGAGCGGTCGTGGGAGCGGTTTAGCAACGCAGAACCAAAAACATAATTTTTGACGATATAAAAATGAAAGGGAGGGTTTTAGCTTTCACACTGAAGACAGCCGACCGAAGTTGAGTTTGCTAAGGCTTTCTTTTCAAGTGAGTCTTCCTCGATGATTCTCTCGTAATTATTATCGAGTGATCAAGATCAGGGCGGCGCACCGATTAAGAATTTTTAACCGATAAATCGGTGTAGGTTAATAGAGTAATTGTTCGGTTAATCTGTCTAATGCGGAGGCTGATAGCATCATTAAAATATAGCGAAACTGGAAATATAGCACGGAGAAAACAATTGCTGGACTTTGAATATCCCCAGCGATGCTGGAACAGTACGTATACGCTAATTAATAAAGTAATTTCGTGTCACTTAACTTTATACTCTATGAGCTGATGGCAGAAGAAAAGAAAAAAAAAGGATAATTAGAAATTATTCACCTGTTTTACTGACGTCATGCTAGCAGATATTACGTGCTATGTATTTTGTTTTATTATATATTATTAAAAAAATCGCGGTGCTATACTGGTCCTTCGTTCCCCTTAGCGCGAGTAAAAAAGGTGAGGGATTCCCGTATTTTGTCGTTTTTGCCTACATATAAACTCCCCTCCCTAACTGCGAGCGTATTTAAATGTACAAAAAAAAAAAAAACAAAAAAAAAAACAAAAAAAACAAGAAAGCAGTTTCGTACTTTGAAAACACGGAGTCCCAGAGGAGCGAAAGTCTCGCTAATGATTAACCTATTAATGTTTTCTTTGACCAAAACGAAGACCGTATAACTGCAGCAACCCCATAGAAAGGTACCACATTTTTGTTCGACTTATTGGTAAACAAACGAGCAGGCGATTCATGCATTAGCAGATTAATCTCTAGATTATCAAATAGTTGTACCGTCCGAACTTAGATGCGATTTAAGTCTCAGATAGCCAAGACCAAGAAGCTCCCAACAAAGCTGTATACTTTTTTTTTTATTCTTTCTTCAACTAGAAGACGACTGATATGTTTTTATTAACGAAATATTATGTGCGTAAATGTACTCTAATCATCCGTATCAACTTCCCATATGCCTCATGCTCTTTCTCGCTGGCACGTATAATAAACGTAAGGCACTTCGGTCGTGTTTCTCTCAGTGTGGCTGGTGGTCAAAAAGGGCCACTTTGGGCAGGACGAACGCGCCAGCAAACGATTGGACACGTGCTCCGCGCCGCAGTTCGGCGGGGCACGCCGACGTTCAAGCCCGAGATCGGGTTCGCTGATTGCGGCCTAGGAGCACCATCTCGAGGTTGAGCAAATTTCGCTTAGCACTGCGCTACCGGGCGAATCATAATTGCTAGCAAACCGACATTCCAGTATTTTGTTCGTTGTTTTGTTTTTCGGCGACACCTTTTCTTTTTGCGATTACGCATCACTATGCCTATACGACGCTTGCTATGCGGACAGCAAGTCGTCTGCTTCTTGCGCAGGTGACGTCAAAACGACGCCGCGCTCTGATTGGTTTCGATTGAAAGGATGGCGGGTAGACACCAATGCTACATGCCTTGAGGTCTACTCACTATTTTTTTTAATCAGTTAATTAGAGCGGACAAACTAAAAGCCCAAGACACGACGGGCGGGGAGAGTCCCGAGCCTCTTATGATCGCTCTGCAGCCAGTGACTGGTTGATTGATTGATTAAGAAACGTCTTTTTGCAACCAATACATTATTGCATTAGCAGATAAAAAAAAAGCGAGGATTCAATCACGATGCGCTGCGCCCCGCGTTCCTATAAGTTCTCAGTTACTATAACAGACCAGCATTCCAATAATCTTGATGTACCAGGCCGTGCTCCATAATCATATGCCGTGGCTATACCACGCAGCTGCGGTTACTCCCAGATACGTTTCCGTGCAAGGTCCCTTACCTTACTTCCGCACCAGGGCAGAAGCAGGCCGATGAAGAAAACAGCTCCCGAAGCTCCCCCGACAGCACCCGATGTGATGAAAGTGGCCTGTGGGAAAGCGCGAGAATTAAATAGATGACGCTTTTATTCGTGTTTGTGATTTCTTGCTTTCGCCGTTTATTTTTAACGCGGCTTGAAATATTAAAGAAAATCGGTGTTTCAACCTTATATATATATATTCTACGCGGATGGCTCGAGCAGATTTAATCTGCGGAAATAATCGCGCTAAGAGGCAAACAGCGACAAAATATAAAGCGTAATACTTCGAAACTGACATCAAGTATACTCTTGACAAACTCTCCATAACGTTATGTAGTGTTGCTTTTACAGCCGAGCTGTTAAAGGGATTGTCCGGTCAAATTTTGTATTCGAGAAAACAATTGAATATCATTGCTATTGCCTCGAGACGCATCGTACGTGCAATATCTGAATTTTATATGGCCCTCTGCGTGAGTAATTGAATTTATACTGCTGCAATCGCATTCTAGCGTAAACGCGGTTTTCGTTGGCAACATTGGAGCTCTGGCGTCACAAAACACAAAGCGAGCATTTTTGTCTCGTCGATTGCCTGTGAGTGAACGCCTCAGCGTGCTTCGTTTTTGTTGTTGTGCTCGACTTGTTTCGTGGTTGGGTGAGATTTTTGTTGCGCGGTTGGGTGCCATACCCACCGGGCAGCACATATGCGAGCCAAGACATGACGTTCCGCACTTTTCCGCGAGACGTGCAGTGACGAGCAAAGTGGATCGTCGTCGTGCGTAGGGGCTGGGTTCCCGTCAAGACCGAGATCTCGCTTATGCAGCAATGATCTCACAGAAGAAAGCTACTAGCTGAGCTCTAAGCGGACAGAAGGGTTGTAAGCTGAGGTGTGATGCTGGTGCCAACGATATTGAACTACGTCCACCCACTCCTCGCCCAAATCGGGCCAGTCAATTTAGGTCTGTTCGATTCCCCTGAACTGGCTGAACTAGTTCAGCGTCCGTGCAGAGGCAGACGACAAGAGCAGACGGCGATAGCAGACGACACTCCTCGTCCGCCTCTGCTCGCGGTACCATTTTTCGCAGCTCTTGCTCAAATGTGCAATGTTTAACAATAACGCCGATACGGAGGTTGCATTTCCTCTCATTTATGATAATAACGTACCCGCGGTGGATGCGGAATTGAGATCAAAATCGAGGGTAGGAATTTGCTTGATTATGATATTCTGAAAGCGTTTTGGGCACCTGCTCGCGTAGGTTTAGCTCCCTGTGATGAGTGTTGAAATATTGGCTCACGTAAATTGTTTATTTTTGATGCTATGCGGAGATCCACAGTGTTGATATTCTTACTTACAGACACAGGAAAGGTATTGCCCTCATGATAGTCCCCGCCTTCAGTTGCTCTTGGATGCATACTGAAGATCCGATACATTTCAGAGGTCTGGGATTTAGTGCGTTGACACTCGCATGTCCCCGTAGCTGAGCATAATACTGCATGCTTTGTCCGCTGGTATCTTTGGACGCCCACTAACGGGCCTGGGAAAAATGCCGAGAATCGGCATTTTTGCCGATTCTCGCTTCAGCTTGACGCCGAAGTTACGGTCGATAACAAGACGCTACCGTCAGGCCTTCCTCTTCGAGGTGACCGGTATGCCGACCGCGCGCTGCCGCCAGCGACTCCCGACGTAAAATCATCCTGGTGCCGCGAGCCTATCGTTGAAATGCAAAGATTCCATTTGAGGGGCTTTTGCCGGTACCAGAACTTCCTGGCATAATCGAACAGACCTTGATTATGCAGCGAAACCGAAACCAACAGTTAGGCCATCTCGAAATGATACCAGAACTTTTATTTAGCACGCGTGCAGCTCGATATCCGTTTGACCCGCGTGTGAAAATGGAGCGTGACTACGATTCACCAAGCTCGTCCAAGTCAAGTGACGACATGCATTTGAACGGTTCGCCGTTTGCCTTCGGCCCGCGGACATCGCCTCTGGGCGAACGACCCGCAGCCTCATCACCGATCCAGTGGATCCGCCGAAATATCTGCCCAGATGCCGCTTCGTGTACCTAGCTGTGCCACTTCAGAGGCGAAATCTGCATCCTTTGCTTTGCAAGCGCCCCTAGTTCGATCGGCGTCCGTCGCAGTTGTGTTTGCGCGAAACAGCATAAGTTTGCTCGAAGCTTATGACTGTCTGCGAGTAATATCCTGCTAAAAGGCGGGACTTTTTCTGCACGTGCTTGGGAACTGCATTAAAAGAACCGTGTTTCAGTAGGGTACTGCCTAGGAGACTATATAATTCGAAACAAAATACAAGACACTCGTCGACCAACGCTTGTTATCCCCACCATCCGACAAACCTTTGTGTTTTGTGACGTCACGCAGCACCTACGGATGTCAGCCATTGACACTGGCGAAATTTGGGGTGCAGTTTCGTACATAGGCTCATGAAAGGTTTAATTAATAACGGGAGATCATATACCAAAATAAAAGTGACGTTTGTCTATATGAAGGCTCCCTCGATGTAACGAGCGCAACAACTTAAGTACTTCCGGTTTCGACCGGACAATCCCTTTAAGGGCTAGTGTGCCTCAATGCCCTTCTGTTTAGGGTGATGCCATCGTTTGTAGTACCAGATGCCGACAACACGCGCTCACAGGGAAAATACAAAGAAATCGCAGGAAACAAAATGTCGCCGTAACACAGTCAGCGCCACGAGCGCGTGCAGGGACACGCTCTTTCCCGCGCTTCAGAACAAAAAATAGAAATGAGCGTTCGAAACAAAATGGCCTGACGTTATCACCCCAAGCAAAGCGCGCATGAAGGCACCCTATTAAGGGCTATGTTCCCCAGGATCGTGTCCGGTACCAAAGAAATGTCGACAGGACACTCTGGTTGCCGCCGTCGCTCATAGATGGCGGCAACCTTTCGAGCCTTTCCACTCTGGCTTGCCGACTTGCGGCCGCCCATTACCTCATTCCCACCATAGTACAGCTCCGCTGGTCTTCATTCTTCACCAGAGTCAAAAGGCTGAAAGTTTTCCTAATCTCCTTTGCTTTTGTCTTTTTCTCAGTTTGCTCGAATGACCTTTTCTCGGGAATTAGCGCGTACGTCATGACCGTTATCTATACAAGATTGATTTTAATTCGGTAACTGGCATTCAAAATACCGCTAAAAAAAAAAAGCGACCGCCGCACGGTTGTCTTATTTTTGGGTGCTACTTTAGCTCCAACAATTCTGACCCATAAGATTCGGATTGCATGTTTCGGTGTTATTGGTGGGAAAGGACCTAAAAAGTAGCTTTTTTATTTTTTATCTATATTACGGGAGACAGACTACGTTTCCTGTCCCATTCTCAGGCGAAAAAAAAAAGAAAAGAAGAAAAGAAGATGTAATAAAACATGTTACCATCTTTCGAACAAGGGAGTTGCTATATGAAAACACCGGCGGTGGAAAGTAATTTGTGAAATATCGTCAATTTTCACGCCTTCAAAATATATGCTTCACATTTCTGCAAAAATATTAGCAATGGAATATTAACCATGTAAAAAATATTAGCCATAAAGATGCAGCCGGATGTTCCTGCCAAGGACGTGGCTTGTGTATATTCTAAAAAAAATACAAAAAAAAAAAACAGAAAAAAAAACGACTCAAATTATTAAGGCATGAATTGACGTAGGGTAATCTTGTAACAAGAGTATGAGGCATTTACCTGCAAGATTGACGGTATGGTTCCCGAGAGGAAGGCGACCAGAATTGCAAGAACACCATAAGACGCAGCTGAAACAAGATAATTTGTAAATGGCAAAATGTTATAAACTTATCTACAACACGCTTTCTTTTTGGGGATGTGTTTCACCTTAACATATACGTACCGTATTACTAGTAAGGAGTTACTTCTACCTAGTTACTTTTTTTTGTGACGAGTAACGTATTTAGTCATATTTTTTAGAGAAGGAACGAGTAACGTACTTCGTTACCTTTAAGGTCAAGTTACGAGTAACGGTATTTTGTTAGTTTTGAGGAGTAACCTGTACAACACCGTTTAATTAGAATAGTTTTAATTCTAACTTGAGTACACGTCTGTTGCGACAAAGGAAGATGGACAATCCGAAAAACAACTATACAGTATGGCAGTATAGCAGCGTTTATCGCTGAACAAGTCGAACTCTACAGCTTGGAATGTCTCTCACCCAGCGAACACAATAAGGTTCGCTGGTTGAACCTTCTAAAATCGTGTGCACACCAAATGCAAACCTAGAGGTTGCCAACGCAGGAAGGCACAAAACCAATGGTCAACATCGAACTTTTGAAGCTGATAGAACAAAGTAGAGAGGGGAATCCCAGATTCACCAGCTCTTACTGAAGCACAACATTGGAGTTCATTCGAGAGCTTTAGTAGAACGACTCTTCAACGTCGCATGAGATATATTCTCAAGGAAGTGGGGGAAACATAACTATAAAGCTTCATCTTAAAGGACCAATGCAACAATATTTGCACTTTGCGCAAATACCGCTTAAAACGGATCCCTAACGTTAATGACCTATGAAACACGCGTTCCTTTTTAACCCCACGCAATAGAAGTTCCAGAAAAAAATTTAAGAAAAACGAGCAGCGTTCACCCCCTCAACTCGCAGCCAGAACAAGCGGCCACGTGATCTGGAGCCGATTATATGCCGCCAGTGTTGATCATAGCCACGCGCTGGGGTTGGCAAAGCGCAGGACACGCGCTGAGTTCCAGGCATTGTTATGGCTCGGCTGTTGTCGTCGTTGCAGCGATTGGACACGGGTCAAAACCCGAATGCTTCTCGAGCTAGCAATTGTCACGAGCCCAAGTCGAGTGCCCACGCAATGCTCGGGTCCAATCTATGAACCGCATTCAAATATCGTCACTTGGGTGTACTGGGACCCCCGAGTTACGTCATCAAATTTTGCAAAGGAGAGATTGAATGAAAAGGATCGCTTTTGTCCTTGAAATTACACCGCAACAAAGGAGTTTCTTGGCCAATGGCGTTGCGTGTGAGTATCCTTGAGTCCCAGGTGTGCCAGTAAGCTCGTGTATAGAGAGATACATTCCAATTGAATATCGTTGCACAGCTCCTTTAAGCGCAACGACTACTGAAACAAAAAAACAATAAAACATGAAACAAAAGCAGGTGTGCATTTGGTCGTCAAAGTAACGAGAAAAGTAACTCGCTACTTGTGAGGTAAAGCGTTCCTTTTGAGAATCGGTAACGAGTAACGTATTTAGTTACTTTTTGAGCGAGTAACTAGTAAAGGTATTTAGTTATACTTTGTTTGGGTAATTTGTACATGTCTGGTCTCACCAATAATCTTGGTTGCACGCATCACTCCGGAAGGAGACAAATGCAATATGGGCTTGAGAAAGTCTTCCCAGGTTATAGCGGCCAGTGCGTTGTACCCAGACGACATGGTGCTACGAGAACAAAAAAACAAACAAAAAAACGCAAGTTAGGCTTGAGGTACCAGTTGGCCTTATTATTACTGGAGAATATCTAGAAACAAAGGTATTTGGAGAAAGCAAGTGATATGTTAAAAACACTTTTCCCAACCTAGTAACGTGCAAAATATGCACAAGGCAGTGGGCGTCTATACACCAACTCATGTTTACAAACAAACCGGAGCGCCCCTAGCGGACGCCACCTGCGCCGCGCATGCGCGATGGGGGTGTGGGCAAGAAACTCGCCGTCGCCCATAAACAAACCATTGAAATGCGATGTTGTCGGCGTCGGTGTGAGTCCCCCTGCCCTTTTTCGCGTTCGAATTTTTGATTCTACGTCTTCCTGGCGATGTCTGACTACTTGAGCGGCGTCAGCGAAATTACCGAGGCTCGTTACACCGCAAAACTTCGCGTGAATAATGTGACATGTGGCGATTCATTCCGCGTGGACGCCGCAGTATGTACGCTAAAGCCTGATTCGGATGATGAGATTTCGCTCGCAATTTTAAGTCGCGACGCCGCTCGGGCTGCAAAAGCGTGAACCGTAGCTGAGATGGTCGACGTCGATACTGAAAATCGCTAACAGAATCGGACCAAGTGAATTAGGCATAACAAGTCGGTGATGGTCACTGGTAACAATGATCAACATCTCCATGTATCTACTGTTTACATCGAGCCTGCTTACCAACCTTCAAATTTAAGTCTTTTGAAGCCTGCACTTACTTCTTATCACAAGTACCGGGCCAACATTTGGGCTACGGGCCGGCGTTGTCTAAGAGAGCAGACGACAAGCAGAAACGTTTGAAAGAGCAGACGACAGTTCGAACGATCAGGAGGCCGTTTAAACTTCAAGACGCACTGAACGTAGTTCGCAGATGGACCGCACAACTTGGCGGTTTTCTGGCGTTCATGTTTGAACAAAACAAATAAATCTGATGACCACAAGTATTCGTGAATTCAACCCAATGTGCTTCCCACCCAGGAAATCGTTGTCCGCCGGCGTCTGCTTTTCCCTTTTCACTGCACATATCCAGATTCTCGGACGAACCGAGCGCGTAAAAACTGACCTTCAAACCTTTCTCGACACTTTTGGTACGGCCCCAGTCGCGGCGTTTTGACGAGAAGGCAGATTTTTGTCTGGTTCCTTTCAAAACAACGCAGGAATACACGTCTGGTATGGGGACTTCTGCCCACAGCCCCAGACCGGAAGTGCGACCGACGCGCCACCACCGCACCGTGACGTCACATAGTTGGGTCGGTTGAATTAAGCTCCTCCCACCTCCTTCCACTTTAGCAGAGCGAACGCTGGAGAGGAGGCGAACTCCTCTCCAGCGTTCGCTCTGCTAAAGTGGAAAGGGCTGGGAGGAGCTTCCACTTTACTCTTAACCTGTCACCGACGATAGTATGCACATCTCGCTTGCCGCATTGAAAACACACGAAGGTCTGTCATCTGTTGTGTTTGAAGATGGCCGACGCCTTTTTTAACTTGTTGCACTTTGACTGCTAGTGCCCGCTCGAACTGTACCGCCATAAGAGCATCGCTGGAGACTGACAGCTAAACTACCGAACAAAAGCACACGTTGGTTGTTTGAAAGCTGATATTACGTCACTGGCATCTTTAAAAAAAAAAAAAAAAAAGCAAACAAAAACATGGGCATAGTTACTGGCTAGCAGTGTATTGCTTGCCTCTTCCTAATGGGTTTCTTAAAGATGTGTATTTATAAAAAAAAAAATGCATGGAGAAATGAGAATATATTTGACGGAAAGCACTCAGTCAACTTAAAGCGCTTGTCCTGTGCTCTTCTCTCGTCGTCTTCGTCTTTTTGCGCGCTGTTTTCCAATTTCAGAAGTCATGAACCAACTCGCTTGCATCGCCACCTTAATACAGTCAACTTAAAGTTACTGGTTGCCAAACAGTACTTCTGCCTAGTCCAACTACACAACATACACTGCTCGGAGTCATGCCAGAAAAGGGTGACCAAATGGTAGTGCTCCAGCTTGCTCAAATTGCCAAAACCTTGTTTATATGTTCGTACAGAGTATTGGGTGCAGGGGAGATTGTCCTATCTTGTCTTTTTGCTGGGGCATTTGGGGGGAAGTATAAGTCAATCTCCAATTCATAGATTTTTTTTTTTTTTTTTTTTTTACATTACGGGATTTAAATTTACCCGATAAAATCCTTGCTCTGATTGAATAGACCTAGAGTGTTTACAGGAGCCACGAGACGCATATTATTTATCCTCCGTTCAAGTTCGAGAGGAGTTAAATCCCAGAATGGACGTCCCTTCTCTTGACAACGGCGTCAACGGATGACGACATCCCATAGAATAAGAAAGGAAGGGAAAGCACTTTTTTTATAATTATTATTCTATTACAATTTTTTTTTCCTTTCACGGTCGTACTCGATGTAAAGTAGTAGTTTGAAGATAAATGTGTTTTTTTTTTCGCTTATTTAGTGAACGTGCGCCCATATAGAGGATTGTGTGGTAATATACATAGGTTTTTTGCGTGCCTATGCGACCGCCGATAGACATTGTGTTGTAAAGTTATATCCGTCCAGACATAATTAATAGCAAAAAAAAAAATATTTTAGGAAAGCGAAATAACTATATAGTTGGAGCTGAGTTTATAAAACATGAACTCACCTTAAAGACCCGCTGTAAACGGCAGTGACGAAGAGCCCCGACAACCCGGGAAGGTGGTTCAACGTGTCCATGACAAAATGCGGCATCAACTGCAAACAAAACAAAAAGCGTCACGGGTAACGCCTTAGCAACCATACTTACTCGAATCCATTTAAGGAATATTGGAAATAAAGACACCTTATCGTTTTTCCTATTACTCTTGGCTTATTACAGCTTGTACGCTAACGCTTCGATCCCACTTCGGGCGGTTCGCAAAATTCGGTTTCTCATCCTATCGCGGTGAGGTTTACTACAGAGGCGCGGCTAGCAGGATTCACGCAAAAAGTTAAATTCTCAACAAATAATCTTGGGAGTGTCTACATCCACGCGCGGGGACGTAGCCACGTCGGGAGGAGATAAGGCTCCATCCACGCAATACGTCACTTCCGGCGCACTACGATCAACTTCCGGTCTAGCCTTCCAATGTTTTTCCATTTGCTTGGCGGCCATTGCACCTTGCGATTTTGCCGTGCGCGGACTGCTGTCTACTGTGCCTGCCTGGTCTTCCGCAAGCGGTTTTGTCTTTCTCTAAAGCGTTTTTATTTTCTTTCTGTTTTCTCGGACAAGGAGTTTGGCCGTTTGAGTATTAGCACGGTCGCGCTTCTGATCTGCCTCAAGTTTTGGTTGCCGGAGGTTCGACGGTGAAATACTTGTCCTAGTATTTCCCATCGAATGACCGGGTGGCTGTCGAAGTGCGGGCGTTTAGTGGCATTAGGATCGAGGCTTTGTTTTCCAAGGTGTCTAACGCCCTGCTCGATTTTGGCACAAACAACACCAGCGTTTGTGCCAGCGCGTACGTTGACAAATATCGTCGGCTGGCCGCTCAGATCTTGGAACGCAATCGACGATGCAGATCGCCTTTTCTTCCGTCCTTCTGAGGCGGGGGAGCAGGTTCTCTTCGATGGAGTGTCAGCGTAGTCAGATTGCCGAGATCCAGGCGTTGAATGATCGGCACAGAGACGTGAACTGGCTCCTGCAGGAGTTCTGCCGCAAGCAGGGTTTCGTGTTCATCGGTGATCTCGTGGACGAGTGGCATCTGTGCATCGGCTACTGTTTTATTTGTCATGGAATAAACTGTTTCTGGAATCTTTTACCCAGTTTTCTCGATTGAATGCTCTCAGTATGTTTGTTATTAATGGGACTAGAGCACGTTTTCCCTTTTCTCACAATCTCTGTGTGATTGCAAGCGTGTGCGCAAGTCAAGAACGTACGAAGCGGTGGGCACGTACTTGTCCCCTTCGATACACATAAGCTCACATTAAAAGGCTTCGAACCAAGCCAACCACAAACACGACAAAGCCTCTCCGCCTCGCCTCAGCAGCGATGCGCACATGGGCGAAGGCCCCGGAGGCCGTACCCGCACCGCCCGCACGCACGGGTGGCACGCACGCCGCCCACACGTGTGTGTGACTCCTGGACAACATAAATATAAAGATATATATTGAACATGATTGTAAACCTAAAACTGGGGCAGAAAAGTAGACACACCAGAAGGTAGAAAAAGACGAGGCAACGTCTCAATTGGTACTATTTTCATGATGCATTATATTTGCTATTAGTCTTAGAAAACAGTAAACCATTTTTGTTAGGTCACGTGACATATTAACCTTAAAACAACAATGAAATATAACCTATTTATATTTATATCCTATATTTACTTATAAGAAAGCGTAATATGTACATAGAAACAAATTATCTTTTTATTTTATAAGTCACGTGACCTTTTGCGTGGATGGAGCCTTATCTCCTCCCGACTTGGCTACGTCCCCGCGCGTGGATGTAGCCTCGGCCAATAATCTTACCACGTTCAAAAAAAAAAAAAAAATCTCTTTCGGTCAATTTACAGCGACATATCTTGGACAACACAGACGGTGTTTGTTGACATGGAGACGCTGCCGACATATGATGTATGTATGGAAAAACTTTCGGTAGATCGTCTACTACATATCGAAACCCGAATTCGCACGTCCCGCGCGGAATTTGCACTGCAAGGTGGGGGAAAAGCGAAAAAAAAAATGACCGCATCTTCACGTGGTGGATGATGTTGATTGGGGCGAAGCTCTGGTGGTGCTGATGATACCGATTTTATTGTCCATAGGTAGTGCTGGTGGTGCATATTTTTTTATTGCTCATAAATAATGCTGAGTTCCGGGTTACGTTTCAACTTCATTATTACTGCTTTATGGTCGGTGAAATGCAGAGCCAGTGGTTCTTCTAGCGGATGAGCTTGGATCCGCATTTGAGTAGTTGACCGCAGCGCCCTCTCGTCTATAAACGTTGAGCCAATGCATGCAAAGTTTAACGCGATTACATACGCATTTGACCACAGCGCCCTCTCCTGTATAGACGCTGAGCGGCTACAAGCAACGTTTCATCCATGACATCCCCAGCTCTTGAGTTAATACCACATCTCAGAGCCCCCTACTGGTCCCGCAGTCGTGGCAGAGTGGTTAAGGCGATGGACTAGAAATCCATTGGGGTCTCCTGCACAGGCTCGAATCCTGTCGACTGCGCAAACATTTTTTTTCTTTTTTTAAGAAGACAGATGGGATGGTAATCGATGTGAGCATGGACGCTGGACAAGGCTAGACCCTAAGGAGCATCGCCCCTAAAAAAAGTCACGCGACTTTTATCAGAAAGCGTGACGCAGAAAAAATGGCGCCGCTGGAGCGTCAGGGGACTTCCTAGTTGATGCTCTGCAAATAGCAACTCCCGTCTCACGCGCCTTCGATAGATACGCCATCTGTCGGCAGCGTGTCCAAGTCAAGGAACACCGTCTACGTCGCCGGGAAATGGGGCCGTGGATTGACCGAAACAAATTTTTCTTTTTTCGTCTTTTTTTTTTTTTGACCGAGGTAAGTTTACTTGTCGATATTTCAACTGTATGCGTGCACCACCTAGCCGGACCTATCTAATAAACTTTAATACAATACGTCAAGGAGCATGCGCGTGACTCCAATGCTTGGAGATTATTCCTGTAGTGATAAGGAAAATAAACAAGATAAAGGGTGTGGTTCGCGAAGAAAGCAGCACCGTCTCGAACAGTCAGTGCGGGTGTGTTCCCCGAGCCAACACAAAAAAAAGCTGTAGTTAAATATACGGTGTCCCGATCGAACTTGCCGCTGTAAGGCGAGCCGGAAAACTCGGCGCCTGCACATAGAGAGCTCAGACTTTCACCGAATTTGCACTGATGAGATTAGTTTTACCGTATCAGATTTCAAGGCGCAGTTCTTATGTAAAAGACGAGAGCAAAAAAAAAAAAAAAAAACCTGTCAAAATGAAGGTTTGCAGACGATCGAGTTAACGACGCTATTTACATGTGGCGCCGTCCCCGATAGGCCAAGTGAGCAGACGACGCACTCTGTTGTCTGCTTGCTGCGTCTATCGGGAGATGGCGCCAGAAGTAAATAGCGTGGCTTGCTGGGTCGTCTGCAAACGCGCCCAACCTTAACTTTGGCAAGGCTTTTGCTCTAATATTTTTTTTTACAGGAAAATAACTACGCCTTGAAACTTCACAAGGTGAAACTGACTTGCTCAGTGCACATCGGGAGGAAGTCTGAGCTTTCTACACCGGCACCGATTGTTCCGGCTCGTTTTACAACGAAAGGTCCGCTTGGGACATTTCATGTTTCTCCCGTGAGGCTTCGGTTTTTCTCATTCAAGGTCAGCTCCGATTCGGGGTTTTTCGGTTTCCCTGACCTTGACAAAGCCGACTCGGGGGTTACGTCTCAGTGTTTATTGGTATATACCAAAACACACTGAGTATGCTTATAACCATTTGTTGGGCAATAGGTTAAGAGTCTAACAGCGCGAGATCCGAAGCCGCTCGTACTACGATGTTAGCCCATGCCCCGTAGAGGAAAAGGAACCAACACGTATTCTGCTTCTTTTGCGCGTGTTTGTGATTTCTGGAGTATAGACACGGCTGGTGGCGCGTGCGGCTCGCCCGAGAAGGTACCTCTTGGCAAGTTCGCAATTACGCGGGCTTTACTCAAACGAGCGGAAATGTGGCAGCGGCGGCAACGCCTGCTTGCAGGTGTTGGCACCAGAGCGTAGAGATGCCTATGCAAACGAACGATGGCTTTAGCTACACGCTCATAAACAAATACCTGCGCACTTCTCTTCGGCCATGATGTGTATCAGCCGAAGCTTCGAGTGAAAACGTTTGAACCCAATCAGTGCGCGGTGTTTGGTTTATAAAATATATATATATATATATATATATATATATATATATATTCTCTTCAACGTCGAAAGACTCGTATAATCATTCTGACACAGATAAACTATCCCCACAGTCTTCAGTGTATCATGTAAATTCTAAACGGAATAAATCAAATTCCATCTCTAGATTGTCATCAAAGCTGAGAATTCCGCCGATCCAACCTTGATCTTGTCGCCGTGCAAGCGCCCGTGCTCTTCTGTAGAATGTGTAGGCATCTTCTTTTCTAAGATTAAATCGAAGGAAGTTAAGGTAAAGTTTTCTAACATCCCAACACAACCGAGCTTTTTGCGAAGCACATACGAAGAAGAAGAAAATAGATGGTGCTATGGAGAATTTGGCAGCCTTGAAACGGCGCCGGCTACTCCAAAAGCACGTACGAGCGTGTTGCCGAAAACACAATTTTATATTCTCTAGGCCAAATAAAGTTGCTACAAGTTTGACTAGCTCTTTAATACCCGTGCCACGCGGGCAACTCGAATGCCATTTACAACGAATGACATTTCAGCGGCCGGCCAATCAGCGCGCGGCATTCCGGGCGTAGCGCATTCCACGCGCGACCGATTGCGAGCTGATTCGCCGATCACACAAATGTCATTCGTTGTAAATGGCATTCGAGTTGCCCGTGTGGCACGGGTATAATTTGGACGCATCGGTGGAGTGCGAAAAGCCTCGCGTTATCTATACCTCGTTTCACGCTTGTGGTAGGTGAAAGGTTAAGAACCTATTCGATGCTAAGCTTTCAGCGCGCGAGCTTTGTGCCCTTGATAACACGCTCTAAGAAAGAGTGGAGGTAAAATGTGGCAACGGCAAATCTTCCTCTCTTCTATTGGCGCGCCCCCAAACGGACACGAGAAGAAGGGTGGAACGAGACGTTTCTCTCTTTCTCCAGGCAGACGGGAGAAAGGTCCTGCCCTCCCGCCCCATCTTCTTTCGGTTTCGTTTTTCGATCACGTCGTGCGCATTGTTTAGTAAATGTGGTTGAGTTGGCTGAGCTTCAGCTGCAGCAAAGGCCGCCTGCAATTCTGTCTCCCAGCCCAAACGTGCACAACATTTCTGTTGGATTTACGTTTTTACCACTAATTTTATCAAACGAGCAAACGAAGCCGTTAAAAGCAGTGAAATTCCCGAGCAGCGCCAGCAATGCAACGTACACTGGACTAAGATGGCCGCCTCCGAATTGCAGAACGACGTTTCGACGTTGGCGACGTTGACGAGGTGCAGCAGTAAAACGCTCGATTGAAGAAAGCATTACTGTATAATTTCAATGTGAATTCCAATTATATGTTGTCCGAGAGAAAAATTAATGGATATGGAGTGTTTGTTAGACACCGGAGCAATCGATTCCAGCTGGGGAAAAAAATTCTTTGAACGACACTTGCTCTTAGAAAAGGAGGTAATGCAAACGCACCTGGTCGTACTTGGTGATGATCCGCGCCTTGACAGGATCACATTTGTGATAAAGTGCAAATAGTGCGAGGCCGCAGAACGATGCGAGGGTTAGGAGAGCACTCACGCCAGCCATGTTCGTGTAAAGAGCCCTAAAAAAAGGATAGATTATAATGCAATTAAATGCAAAGGGGCAAGCGAGCTGGACAAGAATGACGAAAATAATCCTTGGAGAAGGGGAATGTTAAAACCGATTAACTATAGAACTTGCACACCATCACAAAAGAGCTTTTGGTGACTTATATTTTAAATGTTGGTGCTTTTGACGCGTGTTTCCCAGCTCCCTTACCGAAGTGACATGAACCTGTAGAAAACCTATTTTTATCGCATTTTTTAATGTTTTGTAAACAGTGAGGTCAATATTCTCAGAAGTTTCAACTAAAGCCCCGGTATCTTGGACAAGCGGCGTATTCTCTTCCCCCCTCTTCTACAAAAACCTCCTTTCGGTCCATTTAACTTCCGGTATGCGACGGAGGCGACCTCTGGATGTTCTTAAGTGTCTCGATGTCTTGGTCAGCTCAAGAGGCGCGCGATGCCGGTCATGTGGACTTTTCTCGTCGTATAAGGGTGGCAGTGACCTCATTTAGAGCCCGCATTCGCACCCGACCGCCCTGAAGTCGCTCATCTGTTCGTCGAACCGTGGATCCCAAAAGTACTTTAGATAATCGTCCCAATCGTCCCTATCGAGTTGCATTGTCGGTCAGTGTCTTGTGGGTACCTGTCCGCCCTTCGGCTCCGCAGGAATCGCAAATCGTTTTTAATCATCATATCAAACCGCCAAATTGTTATTATATTCTCCACAATTTTAGATGATTCCCTACTTATTTTTAATGTATGGAGAGAAAGCATACTCGTGCTTGTCGCACTGGCTTCGCTCGCACTTACGTTGAAACGGGGTATATAGATACATCCACATGCTCGCGTCCGCAGCCGCGAGAGCGTTGCAAGCTATGAACTTTGTGCGAAAAAAAGCATGGTATACGAGCACGTACGCCACACTTGACGATCGAGCGTACTCCGCACGCATCATAGAGTGACGCCGATGCTCCAAGCAGGAGCATGAGCAGGCCGTTTTGGACGACGATTACTTCCACTGCATGGGCGTCCGTGCATGCCAAGTCGGTAATGTCGTGCTCGCTATTACATCGCTCGCGCTCACGGAGGAATGGGGTGCATAACTCGCTCCAAACAGCTGTTTTTCTGCATTCTGATGAGCTTTATACAGAGCAACTACATCGCATAAATTTGCGGCTCCGGTCGAATTAAAATCTTTTCGACCGAGTTGGTGAAGCAAGATCTTCCTCCGAGGTTCATTTTTCGTTCCAGAGGTTGCACTGAAAAGCTCTCCGGTGGATCTTTCCACAGGCGCGGCAGCCCGTTAGCTGCGGCGTCGTAGGAAAGGCTTGGTAGAGTCATGGAGGTTAGAAGTACTAGGAGTGGGGACGTTGCAATATTGGTGAAGCCTAGTTATAAAAAGTTTAAACGATGTTGTGGCCAACTTGACCGTAGATCTCTCTGGCGATTGGTGCGCGTGACATGTCACGTGTCAGATGGATGGTTGATTGTAGAAGGACTCCTTGCAGGCTTGCGCGCGCTCCGTCCGGAAAGTTTTATCAGATAGAAGGCTAGCCTGTGGTGTATTCTAGTACCTCACAGCTAGACGAAGGATAGCTACGGTCACGTGATATGGTCACGTTGGCGTGGTAAGTGAGGAGAGAGTAAGGAGGAAAATGAGAAAGAGGTGAAGCGTCAAGGGAGCATGGCTTGTGGAGGCTACACGGCTGCCGTCATGCCCTCTCCTACACTTCTATCCTTATTGGGAAAAAATGGCCACCGGAAGTCCAAAACCGAAAACAGGATTTCACGTGACGACTGACCAATAGTGTGCGCGGCGGCTCGTTCAAAGAATGGCGCCACATTTCCCAGGATAGAGGAGCTTAGTTTTAACCGCAGGAGTGCACATTTGTGGGAACAGAGTTACTTGAAATAAATATGGGTTTGCATTCGTTTAAAACTTTAAATCATCGTTAATATATTTTAGGTGTTTGCTATCGACCTCCTGGGACTCTAAACTCGTCAAACACAAAGTATGGGCCGAAGTTCACGGTGCGTATCGATTGGAGTATCACGATGATGACCACGCGCTTTTGTCGCCGGCGTCCAATCGGCGCTCTCCTCGAACGTTCGGCTCCAACTTTGTATTTGACGAGTTTAGGGCCTTTTGCTCAGAACGCTTCCTTTGTCTCTGACTTTCACGATGTCGTCAACAGTGTCACTGTCCGTTTACCAAACATTTCAACAATATTATTGGGTGATCACAATTTGTTTCTGTTAATAGCAATGACTCGCACTCCTCTTACGTGACTTTTGGTGTTCCCCGAGTTTCAGTCCTAGGTTTTCTTTTGTTCCTAATCGTTATTAATGACCTTCCTGTCCACGTCTCATCCTCCATTGGTCTGCTCGCTGACGACTGTGTAATATACTCCGGAATAACTAATTATTCTGATGTTGAGTCACTTCAGACTGACCTTCTGAATGGTCCTTGTTGGTGTGATAAATGACAATCAAAACTTAACATTAACAAGGTACATACATAGGAGTATCACGTCAAAATAGCACTTGTCCTTACCACATCGAAAGTGTTGTATTCTTCATATAAATACATCGGAGTACACATACTTAACCACCTAACTTGAAATACTCAGATTTAATATGGAACTAATTCTGCTAACCTCATGCTTTACTTTTTTGAAAGAAACTTCTCTCTTGCACCGCTGTCATAAAAACTGCTCCTTTATAAATCCTTAGCTCGCAGAAAGCTCGAATACGCAGCCGCTATCTGGTATCTTGCTAAAACTTTCTCATTATCACTAAGGAGCTGTTCAAGACAGTTCTGTTAGTTTTATACTAGATAATTATCATCCACAAAAAGAGTGACAGCAATCAAAACGGCTCTAGGGCTGGCTGGCCTCTCCCTTCGCAGAAAAGTATCCCGGCTTTGCTTATTTTGAAAGGTCTACCACCACAACCCTTCACTACGCCAGCATCTTTTAACCCATCCATCATATCTCTCATCACGTGCCGATCATCGAAATAAAGAAGGCGACCCCCTTTGTCACTCATAAAGATTTAATCAGTCTTTTGTACCTACAACATCTCTGGATTGGAATCGCCTTCCCGCACCTATTGCCGACATTGTCGAAAGCGCCGAATTTAAAAATGCCATTTGTGATTTTGTTTTGTGTTCGGATAAAGAGTTTCCAGTTACGTTTAGCTGCCTCTAAATAGTTTTGTGCGCGTATAGAGATTCTTTATTTGTTTTATATTAACTCGCCTATTTTCATATTTTTTTTGTATCTTATTTAGGCGCTTCTTGTCCATTCCCCTCTGTAACGCCTTCGGGCCCTGAGGAAGGAAATCTGTGAATAAACAAATATCGGAATTTATGTTTGTTTAAAGAAAGAGCGGAAGAAATAGGATCTTATTCGAACTCATTTCCACATTCATGAATGAATAGTGGCCTCCTCGGTGGGTCCGAGACAAAGTGCCGGCCTGGGTCGAATCCCAGCCTAGGGCGCACAATAAGGCACCGTGTAACCGAGCTTTCGTTTGCACGTGGAAAGATCCCCAGGTGGTCGAAATTAATCTTCAGTCCTCGGCTCAGGCGTACCAGGGGCCCTTCGTTTGTTTCTCCCGTAGAACCCCCCCATTTGGCATTTTATGTATCAAAAGTGACAAAAGATATTACTTCTATCATGCAAAGCACAGCGCATGACCACTTCGAAATAGGCAAGTGGGATATATAAAACTACTTCTCGATGTCACTAACGCAGCTCTGTTTTGTTGAAATGACATTGCGGAAAATAATATTTTAAAGTAATTTTGACTTTTAGTGTAATTTTTACATCATTACTTTCTTGTAGGTCAACAACAACAAAATAATAATAATTTGTAGGAAGGCCCAATAGTACACAGATGCGTCCGATGTTTACTTTCAAAATTACGACTTACTATATGTTAGTGAGTCTGAGTATCTGTAAAGTTCGAGAGGCTACAAATATTCAAGAATACATACGCACGAGGAACAGGCCCTTTTATATCCTTAAAACCAATTACTGGCGAATCGCTCTCGGTGAAAGCTCGTGGTTTACGGACTCGTAAGATTATATTATATAGGTACAGTACGTGCACTACACCTGCCTCCTTAACGGCGTAAGGAAGGACCTGATACGCCCGAGACGTTTCTGCCTCCGCCTACGTCTCCTCAACAAGTGAGGGCAGTATTGTTCTATACTATTATACACAGTATATGCATATGTGTATACAGCTCAGGTTCCAGTCGATCGAGCTTCCACTACGACGAGCGCTCTATACGTGATTCCTACAAAAATCGAATCGCTTCGCGCCGCTGAGCGCCGTAACCACGAAAACCGTTGCTGTTATTGGTGGTTGTATAGTTACGCCGCGCGGTGGTGCTATGCGACGCGATTTTTGCTTAAATGTGTTTCACGATTAAGGATTTTAAGTGGGCAGGCGTACTATACTGGCAAGAAAAGGCGCTTCTTCGGTGGACAAACCAGGTCACCTTATCGACAAGAAATTTGATACATAACTTTCGCAATTTATTTCGAAAAAAAATTGTAGGACGCTTCAGCTTCGCCTTTAAGAGTGGAACGCGATAGCGTTATTGGGCCCGTTCGCATAACCTTCTCATTCGCTTCTCATGCTCTTGAGTCACACAGCGACCTAGTTCTCATGACGCAACGCTCCTTTATCTGCCCACAGTACGACTTTATTCTCATTGTTTTTCCTGACACGTGATTATCTTCATATTCTACGACACTACTTCACTGTGCTGTACGCACTAAAAGTCTTTTGTTATTCCCTTGTCCCTTCAACGTTCACGCGCGCTGAGTATCACAGTCACTCACTTCACGCACACTCTCACACGCCACACTTCGGCCCTTTAGCTAATCGTAGTCCATGGGGCCCTAAACTCGTCAAGCACAAAGTTTCAGCCGAAAGTTCGCGGAGCGCGCCGATTGGACGTCGGCGAAAAAAGTGCGAAGTCATCGTCGTTATAGGCCAATCGGTGCGTTCCGTCAACTTCGGCCCCAACTTCGTGTTCCACGAGTTTAGAGGCCCAGTTGGTTTTGAATTCCTTTATATCCCTCTTGTTCCATGACATGCCTGAACGACAGTGGTCCTCACTCTTCTAGAGCACTTTCATCAAACTCAATCACTGCGATGGTTACGCGACGTCATACGTGACGTCACGCGTGTGACGTCACGCCAAGTGACCTCGCGCTCTTCGCGTATGATATCATGCCACATGACCTCGAGTGTGACGTTACACGTGGCTGTGAAAGCATGACCCTATTACCAATCAGGATTTTCCGGTTCCACCGACGCCGACGCCGGATTTTCTGTGACACAAACTCCATAACGCTCTCGCGTTAAAAGCTATATGGGCATAGGGGCTTTGAGCGGCCTTTAAAGCACAGGAAAAACGAAGCCTGCTTTTTCGTACAACGTTTGAAGTTTAGATCGCACTCACTTCCTTGCTTTCGATGCAGAGGACAAACCGCAGTACCGCTGGACCATTGTCTGATTGGTGCAGAAGGTCATCGTCCAGATGACGGATGAACCAATTACAACGCTCCAAAAAGTGAAGGTCTTTTGAAGATCGAAGCTGAAACTGCAAAAAGAAGAGAAGCGAACACATTTTCTTACTTAACCTACAAAAAAAAAAGTTATCTTTTAAAAAAGTACGCCAAAGCAAAAAGAAAGCCGGCCAAATAGTGACACTTGCGAAAAACTCTAGAACATCTCGTCATGATTAAACTTAAAATCAAACACTTTCTTTTTAATTTTATAAAGTGTAATAAAACTGAAAAAATAAACGAAATAAAAAACATAAATAAAAAATAGAAGCTTACTATTTATTTGGTTTAATTAGATTTAAATCACGTCTTCCTCAGACTTTACGAACTTTACCCTCCTAAAACAAAAACCTTAAAACTATATAAACAAAGTATTATTGGCGAATCATCATTCAACGCACCAATAATATGGGGTCCTTGAGACGAATATTGATATCTTGTGCACAAGGTTTTGACCTTCTAAGTCCGAGGACAACCGATTCCATCGAAATGTCCATCCCAGGAGCGCACTTTCATCACTGCCGGCCACAGCTAAAATTAGGGAAGCGCCGGATGCTTGGCAGTCATCACTATAATAGGTCTGCTCCTCGCGCAGATGGTGCGTTCGTTTACCCGCCTAATTCGCCCACGCACTTTTGTTCACCCCAAAGCTGAACCAATGGCGGCGTGCGCTTGGCTGCCTCGTCATCCCGCGTACCTTGCGGCTAGGTGCCTTTATCTAGGTGACTTTGTCCCTACTCGCTGTATACGTGATGACACCACTGATGCAACTTGCCGATGCCGGCATGCCTCCCGATAGTGTTTGAAATTAGGGTTTTAGTTTGGGGAGTACTACTAACCGCTCCCTCATCGTCCTTTTTTCTTCATTTTTAGAGTTTATTTTTTTTCTCTTCACTTCTTCATAAGCTACAGATAGCAGACTGAAAAGGGAAATTCAAAACCGCGATTTGCTCTCGTGACGGAGGAGTACCACTTTTGTTTTCCTGCGCACTGGCACAAAATATTTCTCTCGATTGAAATTTGGTTTAAACTAGGTTAAAAATAAGTTTAATAATGAAAAGTATCGAATAACGGATATAATAAATATTTATCAGTTCAATTGATGTGGATCTTTTTTTTTTTTTTTGAAACGGTCTAATGTAAGTTATGAAAAAAAGCATGTGATCATAATTGTATTTTCAATCTTGATTTAAACAAAGTTTTAAGTAATTTAAACAACAATATAAGTAATTTTGAATTTACCTACTCACTCTGACAAACAATAACCCGACTGCAGTATTCTTTAAAAAAAATTATTCTACCTGAGAGCGGAGGTTGTTAATATGATACTCACTCGAAGAACTCCAGGATGCCTTGCTGATCGGCTATGGTGAAGACTGGGCTGACTCCACCAAGCATCATACACGCCTGGAACAAATGAAGGAGAAAATGGAATTTAAAGAATACATTTGTAATTATTTGAATGTATTCAGAAGCGAACAAAGTTAGTAATGTTTTGCAAGTATGGATACAGATTATATTACACACATTATTATTAGCTGACAAATTTTATATTAGCTAACACATTAAAAAAAAAACGAAAAAAAATCCCGCATGGCGGCGTATCGTCGTGACTGGTGGGTAATTAAACAAAATGAACGACAATTTTTTTTCTTGTTTTGATGGGAACATGGAGATGTAACTTTTGTGGGTAAAAGCTACACATATCTAATTATGCCAATGTAGTGTTCATAACGTTGACACTTGCTGGCAATATAAGTAAAATTACGTCATAGCTTGTGACAAAAAAAAAATCTTTTTTACGAGTGCTGTTGTCCCAGATAGCACAACCATAACAATCTTAGAGGAAACTCTGGTGACTTCCTCAAGACGAAACGAGTGTCAAAGTCAATTTAGTTGTAGCGACGTTTAAACAGCACGAAGTTAGCTTAATTTAAAATAAAACCTCTGATGTCCCGCTTTAACGAAAAAATTTGGCCAGTGCACTGTGCAGTACGTCTGCTAGCCTGGAACATATGAGGTGCGCCACGCAGTAGTGATTACACAGATGCACCTGGCAGCCGTCAAATGAATTTTGTACTTTCTTTATTGCGAAGATTGGGAACCAATACTTGAGGGTGCGTATTCCCCAATTCTCTAGGCTACAACTCCGAAATATTACAGAGATATATCGCGCGAGATATATGTTTGTTTTTGAGGAGCTGAAAGGTACCCGTTCTATATTGTTTTGTGTCGACGAACAGGCACGTTCCTATAGAGGCACCGCGCACTCGCAGTATAGGGTAAGCAAGATGCGCGTTGTCCCACGTTAGTGTTCCTTTCCCAAGAACACATTTTATGGTAAAATCTTGCTTTCGATGTCCGACTATTTCTGTGGCTTTAGTGGAAAGGACAGGGCTCGCCAAACACCACCTAGATAGAAAGGTGTAGCACTTAAATGGTTCACGAGTGCTGTATCACTGCTCGAATACGACTCGTGTTCTTGCTGAATTGACGCGAGTTTCAGTCGACCGCTGACGAAGCACTCGCCTCTGATCAGTGCCCCGCGCTGGCCCTCAGTAGGTGACGTATCAAATTCAGCACTGCTCCTTTCTATTTGTGAGCAATTTCATTAAACACAACAGCAACCCGCATAAAACTTTGTAGCAGTAATCCTCAGTTTTGAAGATGCACGCCTGTTTGTGTCGACTTTCTACCAAAAGGTGATTAGCCCGTGTAGGTACTCTGAAGGCATACATGTATTTAGGCCAAAAAGAGAAGAGCTCTTCAGGCGAGCCGGTGGCACTCGGACAAATTTTCCGGTAAACAGCGCGGAGTGAAAAATAATTTGCAACTGATTTTGGTCGTTTCAGGTGTTTTTTTCCTCTTACATAATCAACACGGTGACATGTCCTTGCCGCGACGATTCGGTTTGAGTTTATGCCTGAGCCTATCCAGTGGTGTTTTAACTACCCGTACTTTGCGTAATTTAAGAGATTTTTTTTTACTTTTTTCTAAGAAGTTAGTACCCTCTGTGTGTAGAAAGGCTCACGGGAATTATTTAAAATGCGCTTCTATATTATTGGATTGGTTGTGAATCTTCGTATATGTTTGCAATAAAACTAGCTTTTGTAATGTAACACCTAATACTTTTCCCACACTGTGATCGTGCGTAGTCCTTTTTGTTACGGAGAATATTCGCACACACCGACGAATAGGACATCGTGTGGAACACGGGAACATCACTTGGAACGTTTCTTAGCACTCTCAGACCATTTTCAGGCTAGGCAAGTGCGTTTCATTTTACAGGTTTTCAACGTGACTCCAGCCCCACTCTGCACGCTAAGTTATCCATCTCCTGCTTGCAGTTGTAGACAGAAGTGAAACCAGAGCCCGAACCGAAACCAAATCCACGGCTCAGCCTTAACCAGGCTCCACCCGCCAACGCCGCCGCGTTACTTCAGGAACATACGAGTTTGTCGATACTCTCACATCATCTGTGCTAGGTTAAAAACGAAAAAAAAAAATGCAGAAGGGTTCGGTTTGCAGTTTCTGAAACTAACGCTAACCACGGTAATGAAAAGCGAGATAATTCATTTAAGGACTCATAAAGTTTGTTTACAAACGGGTCTTTGCCAACTGTGTTTGTGTAGAAAACGAGTTTGTTGACTTGCGTAATTTAGAGCCTCAGGATGCGTCTCGTAACAGGGGTCGAGTAAGACATCAACCGGAGACTCGTCGAAAAAAAAACACCGAAAGAAGATTAAAATGTGGGACACGTGAATGCAAACCACATGCCTTATTTTCTTTCCATGTGCACCTGGCCTACGTCGTGTATTTGGCACGACTTTCTTTCGCTTCCCGCAAAGGAAATAAATAAACAACGAAAGATTTTTCCAAACATCTGATTTCTTCATACGGAATGCTCAAGGTCCTTGCTTTCCGGGTACACACTCGTTCGCGGCGAATACCAAACATTGTGAAGGCGCTTCCGTGCATCGAATGACAACGATTAAATCTGTTCACTATATAGAAAAACAAGCAGCACGTATGGTAGGGTATTGTAACGACTTTCTGACATTAGCTAGCGTGGAAAGATAAAGTACCTTGATATAAGGTTTTCAGTCGTGACCTACCGATCCTGTAGCGACATGCTATAGTTCGGTCGTCTTCTCCTGGTGGCGGAATACATCGCTACTCTTCCTCCGACGGTTATTTGTTTATTGACTTCAATAAAGCCGCTTTGTACTAGTCGGAAGCAGGCATAGTTAAGTATTTAGCTAAGCGAGAATAGTTTGTTGTTTATAGGAATTTAAATACTTTTCTAGTTCCAAGGCTTTTTTTTTTAAGTTCAAAAAAAAAAGAAACGAAACGTGGTACATGTTCGGTTATAGGCGGTCGTTGTTTACACATGACACAACTTGTGGGCACCGTGCGTAGGGCACGGGATCTGATAGAGTTTTGAAACTGCGGAGTTTGCCTGCGTGGACACTGCTCAACTCTCGTGCCGCGTTTTAGTAAACAGTCTACTCGTCTTTCTCTTCAGCGCCCCACTTTTCTCCTTCTGCCGTACTTCGGGAATTCCAATCATACAGCAAATTTTGAAAGGTCTGTCGGTCAACGTCTTCATTAGTAACGGTTGGTAAAAACCCGAGAACAGTGCTGTAACAAAACGGAAGGCGCAAAAATAGAGGTTCTACGCTTGACATAATTTTGGCTTAAATTTTGAGATACAGGTACGTTGATTTCGCAGTGTTGTTAAACGCCTGAGTGAATTAAGTAAATCTAGTCACTTTTTCAGTACCAAGTCTCGGTGTTCCCAACCCCCCGTCTGTTTTTGTTTTTTTTTCTGTGATGGTCTGTTTCTTGGATGTTTCAATTTCATTTTCCAACGTTTCTTCATGAAATCCTCCGTTACTGCATTTGAATATGCATATACATGTTAATCAGGAACCACAATCCAAACAAAACCTTTATTTATATTTGTCAATGAACAAGAAAGAAACAAGATGCCATTAGATTTGAAATACCTGAATTGTCACAACTAGAAAGCCCGTCACCATGAGCAGCAATTGCATTACGTCCGTCCAAACAACGGCTTTGATGCCACCCTGAAACATAAATTCAAAAGTGTTAATTTATTATTTATATATTGTTAAAAAGAATGTCACTTTTACTTGGATTCCTTTTTCTATATGAATGGTTCTTAGCAGTAGAACAAAAGCGGGTATTTTAATTTTATATTTTTTTATAGGTAGGCATAAGCTTCAAGAAGCACGTGCGCAAGAAAGATTTAAAGAAGAATATTTAACTCTATCTGAATAGATTAGAGAAAGTAAAGCTACGCTGCATATGTGAAGAAGCTAACGTTGTTATTACAGAATTTTTATAGGCAAAAACTAAAAATAGCTCTATTATTTACAATTGGCTGTACATTTAAAAACTGACTGCACTTACGATGGTCGTATAGAAAGCGCACACGGATCCGTTGACGATAATCGAGAGCCAAACGGGCAGTCCAGTCACTGGAAAAGTGAAAACGGTCATTAAGAAGTCGAATTATGACGGGAAACGTCCCGGGTTTGATTATATTGCAATAATGTAAACACACTCACCCGATCCTAAGGCAAGAGATGGGCCGTACAAAACCACACCCAGGTAAAAGCACTGTGTAAAAAAAGATACACAAACAAAAATCGATAAAATAAGTTTTTGGTTTTTGTAAGGGTGACTTTGTACTCACCGTTTGAATGATCGAGAGAGCCGACGCAAACTTCCGCAGCACCACGGAATTGAACCGTTTCTCCAAGTACTGCGCGACAAAGAGAAGGATGCGTTGGGCTAGTTGGTTGGCACATGACCTTGAAACGATACGTGTATGCCTATAAATAGTTGCCACTGTTACAATAAAACCTTATTTTTATTCTGTGCTCCGTAGTGTCATCTTTCTTCCGAACTCGTGAGTGAGAGTCGTTTTCTTTCGGTTTAAACTGCAGCGTAATAATTTGTTTTATTGTCTTGCGTTTTGAATTTTGCGACGTTTTTATAACGAGCCAACACATACTCAGAACACAAGTTTCATGTTGTACATCATCACGAAGAAATGCAAGGCACATACGCGTGTGTCCTTCACTCAGCGTAGGTGTATTTATTTCACAATTTTTTTTTCTGACCAATTATACGGGCGCTTTTAAACAACCGCAATTAGTAACAATTAGGTACTTGACTATTTTAGTTAGAAAAATCAAATCTCCCGCTACATTTGATTTTGGATCGTTGTATAGCCTTGTATTGTGGATATATAAAAAAATGCTCCGCAATTAACACAAATTTTAAAGAAACGAGGTTTGAACCGGTTTCGTTGCGGAAATCCAGGGTCTTCGCGTTTTTTTTTTGTTTGTTATATAGGTTTTTGTTGTTTGTTTTTATTGGGGATAGTTATTTTTACAAGCTTCTCCTGATGCTATACTCTTAAAAAATGCCCCTAAGAAATCAATATATGAAATGAAATTATGGTATTGTTCATAGCAAACTGCCGTGTACCTGATTGACACTGATCATCTCCATGTCGTAGAAGACGGGCATGAACACTTCGGCCGACAGCACAATGCCGACGACGACGCCGACGGTGTTCATTAAGTACTGAGATCCGTGCACGAAGTTCTCCGCTGGAACTCCCAGCATGGCGATGGCCGACAGGAAGCTCGCTATCATGGACATGGTCACCGGAAACAGCTGCGCAAAAATGGGTCGAAGATTATTAGGCTCTAGTTAATTCTTAGCAGCAGTCTACCCATAAGAAGCCAGCAGCTGATGGAAAACACCCCCCCCCCCCCCCCACCCCCTCGCTAAGAAAAAAGGAAAAAAACATGTAATTCTTAAAATTTGTTTGAATAGGACACGTGTAAAAAATACTATTTCCCCGAAAGAAAGATTAATTAGCGGAATATTTATGCTTCCAACACGCACTTTACTTTCGCAACGATGTCGTCTGCTCGCGCGCGCAGGCTCAGAAGTCACTTCTATTTGGAAGCCAACAACGTCACAGTAAGATTTTGTTTTAGCCTCCCATTGGCTGGAAGGAACGCGGTCGGGATGTACGCAGAGGAAAAGCACGAGATAGAAAGATGGAGAGGAATAGAATACAATAGACTAGACTTCGTTTCCCCTTAGGTCCGAGCGCGGATGATGTTATGAGCCGGAGGGCCAATGAAACTGCTCAAAAAGCGCAACGTTATGGCGTGCTCTCTGTGCTTGTTAGGAGCATACCTAGGCAAACCTCACTCATGAGGGCCCTCACTCACCCTCACTCACCCTCATCTTCACAGGTGAGGTGAGGGTGAGTGAGTTTCTGAACCAGGAAAATTCATGAGTGTGAGGGTGAGTGAGGGCCGTGAGGGCCGTGAGGGCGGTGAGGGCCGTGAGGGCGGTGAGGGCCGTGAGGGCCGTGAGGGTGGTGAGGGACGTGAGGGCGGTGAGGGCCGTGAGGGCGGTGAGGGCCGTGAGGGCAGTGAGGGCCGTGAGGGCCGTGAGGGCGGTGAGGGCCGTGAGGGCCGTGAGGGTGGTGAGGGCCGTGAGGGCCATGCAACTCGGAGCAATTCGAATGCGTTTGAAGCGGCTGCATCCAATCAGGGACGCAAAATTTTCACGTGATACCTCGTGCCGGTGATGATGACACCGAAAGACTTGGTTCTGGTTTGAAATCGATCGTTTTTTTGGAAATAAACTGTTTCAGAAAGGTGCATTAGTATTCTTAACGAGATTTAAATGCATAAAAACACGTTTATCACGCGTAATTGTGTCTAAATAGCGGTGAGTGGCGTGAGGGCGGTGAGTGGCGTGAGGGCGGTGAGTGGCGTGAGCGCCGTGAGGGCGGTGAGGGCCGTGAGGGCGGTGGGGGCGGTGAGTGGCGTGAGGACTATGAGTGCGTGAGGGCCGTGAGGGCGGTGAGGGCCGTGAGGGCGGTGAGGGCCGTGAGGGCGGTGAAGGCGGTGAGGGCGGTGAGGGTCGTGAGGGCGGTGAGTGGCGTGAGGGCCATGAGTGAGTGAGGGGCGTGAGGGCCGTGAGGGCGGTGAGTGCGTGAGGGCCGTGAGGTTCAGTGAGGGTGAGTGAAGGGCTGAAGGTGAGTGTGACTGTGAGGGTGAGGGTGAGTGAGGGGCTGAAGGTGAGTGTAGCTGTGAGGGTGAGGGTGAGTGAGGGGCTTAGGTGAGTGTGGCTGTGAGGGTGAGGGTGAGTGAGGGCGACCCAAAATGCCGACCTCTGGTTAGGAGTAGCCGGCGGAGGAGCACGCACAGGGAGACGGCGAATACCGAACGGCCCTAAAACTGCAGAGAGCACGCCATGACGTTGTGCCTCTTTCGCTGTTTGATTGGCCCTTCGGCTCATAACATCGGCCGCGCTCAGAGCTAAGCTGAAACGAAGTATTGAGTAGGGTAGACTATAATAGCTTCATTCGAAACATATAGGTTTTCAACGTACACTATACAACCGGATTAAGCCTCAGGGGCTTGTCTTCCTGGCTCGGCAGATGGCGAAAGCAGGATGGTTCCTATACGCTGCAACTGGGGCTCCGACTAATTTAGATGTCGCCAATTAAATGTTGCCATACACAACCCTGAGACTGCAGGCAAGCAAAGCACGACGCTCACATGGAAAGTCTCAAGATCTCATTTTCACCAGCCTGTTTCCGTTTTAATAATCTGTTTATAAATACGGCGTTTTTTTTTTCTTTTTTTTTTCAGATGAAAAACGTCACAAATGTCACAAAACGTATTTCCAATCGAAAAATAATAATAACGCATTATATATGAACAAAATATCAAAATATATAAACAAAATATAGAAATATAGAAACAAATTCTGCTTGGGTGAATTTTATTTTTAAGATGCTTGAAAATATCTGTCTGAAAGGTTAAAGCGTCACATCAAATATTTTTTATCGTCCTTTTTTCAATTACCTTGGAGCTCAACCAAACCGAAAGGCTGTAAACAGCCAGAAAGTCGGTAAGCACATAGGCGCATTACGTGTCGGTGATTGCTTTCACCACAACGTTTCTTTATGAAGTTTACGCCTTGAGAGAATACACTATAAACTCAGTTTCAGTAGAGTTGACGTGATACAGTAATTAATAATTTTTTGACATTGCATTTGACAAAGAAGTTAATCAGTGCACCCCCATTAATTCATCGGCGAATAAAGAAATAAAAAATCACGCGGAACATTAGAGCTAGAAATACATACGCGAGCGTGTAGATTTGAGCTGACCCAGGCTTTTACGATGCACACACTCTCATAAAAAAATTGGGCGTTGAGGTAGGTAAATGCCAACCAATCTACAGAACCGGTTTTCTGCAGCGCAGAAAACTGGTTCTCAGATTCCTCCATGCCAGTCATTCTCGCACTCTTCCCTTATTCTCTCCTCACAGGAGCATGCCTCTGAGCTACTCCCCGCAATAAGCAGAAGAGTTTTCCAATATGTGGTTTTCCTCTTTCTGAAGTGGAACTTTTAATATTTTCTGGCTGCTCGTCGGCCTTTAAGCAGTCAGCAACTTTTCAGCATACTCATTAAGCTCTGTTAGAAAATGAAGGGTTGGAGGAAAAGAGGATAGGGCTACCGGGTTGGGGGGTGGGGGCAGCATGAAAATATGTTTATACATTACGAATTACATTTCATGCTTCTTAGCATCGTCAAAGAAAGCGCAAAGCTTGTTATTTTATTTTAGTACACTCCCGGTCAGTGAAAGAAACCTTAACTGGGATTCAGTTAAAACTCCCGGAAAACACCACCAACTTTCTAAACGAAGGAGTTTCAGTAATTTCCTTGGGAAATTATAGTTTTATAAACCAAAAAGCTTGCTGAAAAAAAAAAAAAAGAAATAAAAAGAAATGGCGCGTGGACGTAATTAATTCACACTTTCATCAGATGGTTATTTTTTTCTAAAAAAGAAGAGCAAAAACAACATCCTCGACCTTTCCGACGACAGACACGGCCAAGACGCGTGAGTACCGTGCTTGCGGCGTCATCTCCAGACAGACGCGGCAAGCACTCGGTGTAAAGCAGACGATGCAAACAACATCTGTCTATGATCGAGTGACTGCGTCGGTCGTCGTTGAAAATATTAGGAATGTTGCTCTAACGTTTGGCAGGAACGAAACACCGCCCTTAAATTTCACTACGATATGAATCCAGCACTAAAATACATATCTGATGAAGAATTGATTTCATTGGCGACTGCCTTACGTGCAGGCATCAATGTTTCCCGCTCATTATACAACAGTGTTGTGCGGAACGACGCTCCAAGGAACATACATTCCTGGAGCGCGTTCCCATTCGGGCGAACGGGAAAACGCCGCCCTTCCATCTTGCATCGGTAGAACGAAAACAAAAACTAGTTACGTTGTCAAAAAAAAACAAAAAAAAAACGCGTTCCGTTTTTTTTTTGTTTTTTTTTTTTGCTGTTGTTATTGTTTATCTATATATTTGAACTTATATTCGAATTGACTAAGCAGTAAAGGCGAACTTGGCCTTTTTTTGTTTGTTGATAGTCTCCGATTTGGGTGGAAATCGGCAGACCGCATCAATAACTCTTTATCAACTGATAGCCAAATTATTATATTTAATAAACTTTTTTTCTTGAGTTGTTGAAAGTTACGCCGGCCGAAACTCTCTCCAGGCAACAATGAAAAATCCTTACCTTTTCTCACCAGTTTACGTCACCGGCGGGCATGCGTAGCAGCGACCGGGATTAATAGCGTTGAACCCTAAGTTCCTGGATAAGAGCTTTGTACAAGTAGTGACATTCTTTGAAGCGCCGGCTGCGTGACGGTGCGGGTTTCAGGAAGCGAATAGCGACGCACAACAGGGGTTTCAACTGAAGGCTGTCATTTTGTTTCAGTGGAATGCGCTCAATGCTATTGATTGTCGTTAATTGAAAAAGAAGTATAAAGGGACTTTAGTTGAACCGCTTATGGCCAGAACATCTATTGGGTCAGAACATCCATCGAGTCAAAACATCCAAGAGGTCACGTGACACCACAGTCAGAACATCCAACGAGTCAAGACGTCTATCCGATTCGAAACATCCATTGAGTCAAAACATCCATCAAGTCAAAACATCCACCGAGTCAGAACATTCATCCGTGTCTAAACATCCATTGAGTCAAATATACATCGAGTCAGAACATCCATCAGAGTCGAAACATCCATCTGAGTTAAAACATCCATCGAGTCAGAACATCCATCAGACGCAAAACATTCATCTGATTCAAGACATTATTATTTGAATTGAAAAAAACAAATACTATATGATTTTTTTGGCGGCTCGAGACTGCGAATTTTGCCAAGTGCCTGTTTCGGGGATACACTTGATCAACCACCTTGGTCAGTGTCCTGGATATAGAGTCCTTCGTGTTCGTGTTTTATTTTTGTCACTGAGTATATTTGGCTATTTGTCATCTGCAGTCCCGACATTTCAGGATCTCCTTAACTATCTGGACAGAATTACAATCCTTGGAGTTCTTCCGTAGAATGAACTAAACAGCACGCGTGGGCCGGTTTCCTTAAATAAAACTGTTCGAATGCCTCACGATGTCTCGGTGTCTTATTCAACCAAATGATTTTAAGCGAACGATATGCACTACGTCGCGTCTGGTAGTAGTAATCGGGACAAAAATGAGCGTATAGACAGTGCGACAGGGTACAAATACCTAAAGAGTTATAATGCATGAAAAAACA